AAAGAATACGTTTTAAATAAAAATATGGCGTTACAAAAATTACATTTTTTAGTGGTTGTAATTCTAATACTTTTATCATTTGTACGGACATGTTTTTAAATATTATTTTTGTCATAAAAAACGCAAAATAAACATGAACCTACAGCGGGTCAATTAGTTCTTCAAATGATAATGCTAATGTATTGATATTTTTCTAATTTTGATTTAAGTTTGCTTGTTTAGCGTCGTCACAGTTGCTAGGTGACATGACGTATGCCGGGGTAAGGACGGGAGGCTAGACCATCCAAATTCACAGACTATTTTTTTCCGGTCTTCCCGGTCTACCAAGGACCCAGCCCGCCACGACCCAGTAGTCTGGTTCCTCCGGAGGACCCGGCCTGTCGTTTTGGACACAGCCAATGTCTTGTGACGTCCACGGCCTACCCCAGTTGCCACTACTGTGCATGTGTGTCAAGGACAGAAAGGCAGACGTGGCAGTGGAAGGTGTCAAAGCAGTTTGGAGAGAAAAACAAAGTAAAGAACAAAAAAAAAACTATTTATCGATTATTAAATTAGTCATCGATTATTTTAATAATTGATTAGTCGTTGATTAATCGATTAATCGTTGCAGCCCTACAAGTAACAAACAAAGAAAGAAAGAGCTTCCTCCTTACAGTGAAACATGGAGGTTTTATCATTCTGTGGAGCTGCTTTTGGTTTAGAAGGACAATGTGACCCTGTATGGATGACGTCCATCCTCTCTGCACCTTGAAGAGTACAAGCCTCGACCCATGGCCGTTATTTTGCCTGTCACCCACCTCTTTCTGCCCTGCTTTCCTCTTCATACACATTTAGAGTAAAGTTTAGTGGTGCCAGATGTAAAGAAAAGAAAAGATAATCTTTGGTCTTGCAGATGAAAAAAATTGACCTGGAGCATCTTGACTCACAAGAGAATAAAAAAAGAAAGATGAACTTTAAAGRAAAAAAAATGTCCGGCAATACGCCCTGACCTATATTTCCTTTGAAAGCTTTCGAGCAGAGCTGAAAAGTACCTCTGCACAAAGAAAACCYTTAAACTTTTAAAAGTTTCGGCGAACAGCAATGGAGCAGTGGCAGAAACTAATGATAATTCTGACCCGGAGTGTCTGTTTCACTTGAAATTTCACTGACGGTGTTCTGCCGAGTGCTTTGAAGTTGAATGAGAGGGAGTGGAGAGTTTTTGCAGCAAAGTGATAAATGTGGAGTTGTGATTCATTGTTTTGAATTGGAAGCTGCTGCTTTGCAACGACGGCTGAAACAGCAGCACTGCCGCCGCTCAGATAATCTAAAATGAAATGCTCAGCATAACTGAAAATGTGATGTCTCTCTACGGATTCTTCAGCCGCTCTGAATTGAGCCCAYGGCTGTGACTCTCAATTTTTTTATTCAGTTCATCCAGACGCTACGCATATTGGAGGACTTGCTTTTCCTGGAAGCCATTTTAATAGCTCTTCCTTCTCCCTCAATCAGGTTTTCTGGAATGAGGTCAGACTGAAGAAGTAGTTCTCAGAGGAAATCACTAAAACAGCAGACKAGATGATAGACTAAACTAGTTGGGATTAATCCACTGGTGAACACTTGAAATATTTATCAAGAGTGTCGTAAATGAAAACATTCTTTGCATAAGAATTCTATTTACACTGAGCTGAATTTGCTTTTTATACTTTTATAATGTTTGTTTCTTTTTCCCCATCAGGGATAAAATATCGGAGCTTCATGGAAACATGTTTGTGGAGGAGTGTGAGAAGTGCGGCAGGTATGTGCAATCACACTGATCAAAATACTCTAATTACAAAACTCACCCCAAAGAGTACATATAATTTAAATTCAAAGTGACTCAGAAACTCCAACATTTCTCAAACCTGCAGGGTTTTGTTTAGGGCTGCACCAAACAATTATTTTGATAGTCAACTAATCTGTCGATTCTTTTTTTGATTGTTGATTAGTCACTGTTATTTCCGTCACAACGTCCATCTGTTCTTCCCTTKGGGTGGAACTTTCCCACCTGCAGAGGATGTAACCACAGCTCCAGTGTTTGTGGTTCAGGTGATCATGATATYTTTCACTGCCGCTGTGCTGCCATGGAAGGATCGAGTCTGCATTTTACTTTCTTGGGTTGATTTTCAGTGAAATGTAGCAAACTATTGAAAGCCTGTCTTGTTTTTTAGCCTCTTCAACGTGACTTTCTTTACGTTCTGCCATTATTAATACAAAAAATAAATAAAAATAGGTCTGAGATTTGTAGGGCCCCTATGATTTCCACAATGCAGAAATTGCAGAAGGAATCACAGATTTAACACAAATTGTAATCCAGTATAAAACGTGGAATCTCACGGAATTTTCTGACATATTTTGGACATAATGTATTTTGGATGCTGCTGTTTTCTGCACCTGCCATTACCTGGTTTATTTATTTAATTACTTATTCACCTTCAAGGCAACATTTTATCTTTGTTTAATTTGAGTGGAAAATAATAAAATGCCTGATAATTAAATGTTCTAGGGGGTTAAATAAATAAWTTTCATTTAATAATCAGTTGTAGCTCATTATAGTTTTGGGGAATCATCATTACGTTTGACTGAAGGGGTWCTAGTGGTATGACAATATGGCTCAGGGGGTTCACAAGTCTAAAAAGGTTGGGAACCACAGAAATATTGTATCAACACTGTTCACGTTCAGACATTCCCTTTTGACATCACTTCCTGTTACTTCATATGCAAATATCTCAACAACTGTTCTTCTCAGCGGCGTGAAAGTTTATTTGCGAAATGTTATCAGTGTTTTCTTTCCAAATATGCATTCATATTTATTACAAAAATTTGATGTCGCAGACACTTTAAGGTTTTATTCCTAGGTTAGTAAGATCATTACTAAGAATGTGTCATTACTTTAACAAGTTTTTAATAAATCTAAATATTACATTTGTATTGATGAAGACATTTAATTAGTTTGTCATAAGAGTAAATTCATTTTTATCGTATATCAGATTAGCCAACAAAGTACAAAATCAAACTAAACGTGCTAACGTTTTACTACAAACTTGTCATTACTGAAAAGAGTYGGAAAAAGCCTTGAAAATGTCTCGCATCAAAGCTGCCTAAAACAATGTTTTTGCAACCAGAATAGGTCAGCCATCTACAAATCAGCCTGCTGTCACACAAGCCTCTCCCTGACAATGAGGTCTGAAAGATGTGTGTAAACAGAAAGCTGCATACTGTGCACATGTTTCAGTTCATCGTGTGCACCTTTGACTTTAAAAAAAAAAAGACTCACATCAGTTTTATTTGGTAAATTGTCTCCTTGTCAAAAATAAATATGAATAAGGTGGAGTTAGCAAACCTTAATTTTTAGGGTTTCATTTTGCTGAGGATGATCAAATATAATTTGTGTATAAATGTGACTGTCTCTCTTTTCACTTCTTAAATTCAGCTACAAAGAACAAAAGTGTGAAAACAGGGTTTTAAATGGTGACTCTTGTTTTCTACCACTGTGGTATTTTGACCAAAGATGTCCCAGACATTTCATTAACACCTCAGGAAACTGTAAATAACCTATGGGCTCATAWTTCCATTTTAACTCCTATTTTCCACTGTTTTGCTTTTCTTATTAGCTCCACTTCTTTAGTCAACAAAGAGCCWACTGCAGCTAAAATGTTTCATAAAACATGCAGAGTGTAGGTTCAGCGACTGTTCACTCACGTCAGCATACACAGTATCTGAGGGTTGGTTTTTTTTTTTTGTTGTTGTTGTTGTTGTTGTTTTTTGCATGTTGTGTCAGCAAAGTCGCTCTGCCAACTCCCCACAAGGATTTACTCAAGTTTTTGTAGGTTAAAGATAGCTTTATCTCTGTTTATTAAACATTAGATAACACAAGGATTAAAAAAAACCTTGTTAATATTTATGAGCTATATGGGTAAAAGCTCAGAGGGACTGAAGCATATTCTCTGCAGTGAAAGAGAAACACCATGTCTGTAATAAACAAAAGCTGCTGCACACATCAAAGGTGCACCAGTGTGTGTGCGCTGCCTTCTTTGCACACTCGAAGCCCTGCCATAATTAATGCTGAAATCAGCTTTAGATTTGTTTATAATACCTTGCAAAACAATGTGGCCCTTTTTTCAGAGGAGAACTTCCAAAAGGTTAATGGAAACTCGTTATCTCCAAATGTTTCCAAGAACTCTACAGTGGCTTCATTTTTCCCTCCRTGGCTTCAGACGTTTCTATCAAAGGGTTACGATACGTGAAAGTGGAAGTTGGGGACTGAAGAACAGGTGTACGTACGTTTAAACAACTCTGTAGCAACAACCAGATGGGAAAAGTCCTTGTGTGTCCTCTAAAAGCATTTTTTATAATTTTTCTTGAATTGATGAGCTTAGTCTAGTTTGTCTTGTGTGTGTGTGTGTGTGAGTGTGTATAGATGCTGCATGTGAAACAGTTTTTCTTTTTCACCCGAAGGTCGAAAAAGTGGCCTCGGATGCATTCAAGTGTTAAACTTTGGGGATTTATGCTTTTTCCAGGCAGTATGTCAGGGAAAAGGTGATAAGTGTGATGGGTCTGAAACCGACGGGGCGTTATTGTGAAGTGGTGCGATCCAGAGGGCTGAGGGCCTGCAGGTAAAACACACACAGGCTTGTGTTTCTGTCACTTTGATAAAAACGAGCATCATCACCAGTTTATGCATCTGTKTTTAATTATAAAAAGAGGAAAGCTGATCAGCACCATACTTGACTGGGAGGACGCGCTGCCAGACAGAGATCTGAACAGAGCAGATGATGCAAGCAGGTAAGACTAACACCTGTTTCATCACCGRTCTTGATTTCTGAGCAACACACCGTTCTGTCACGTTTCTGCGCTCATTTCCTCCAACATCTCTGTTTCATCCCACGCTGGCAGACAGCCGCACTCGGTCGAACCTGAAATGAAAAAATGTCAAACGGAAGTGTTGAATTGATTTTTTTCAGCTCTTTGCTGCTTTAGTGACCGTTTTCCTGTTCTGCTTTATTTGAAAGTCTTTTTTGTCTTTGTTTTTTTTACAAGCATCTCAGTCAGCTTTTATGTTCCCTTCAGACACAAAAGCTTTTGCTGTGTGTTTACTGAGCAGCAAGATAAACTGGATGTGTCACCCAGATCTGCTGGCACATAATAGATGCTTAATTACTTTTTAAATTACAGAGAGGACAGACCTTTGAACTGTGAATTGTTGGTTTGTGGAAAGGGAGAAAATGTGAAATACAACTGTTATTCAAAGGTGACTCACTCTTCTGCAACAAAGATAATAAATGTTAGATATTGTACGTGATTAGACTTGAATTGGATCACTCGTGGAAGCTGTGTTCCCTTTCTATAAGTTGCTTTGCTCCTTTGAGTGAGCGCTCACGTTGTTACAGAAACAGAGGTAGCCCAGATTTGTTTTACTATGATGAGCAACAGAAGATTACTCCATAGACAGACTGTGTTAGCCAGAGAGAAAACAGCACTGAGCAAAGGCTTTAGCTCAAAAAGTGTGCGATTCATCACTGTCACATTGTTCACTTCAAATTCTTGGGGTCATGACTCAGTTAGAAAGTGACTCTTGATTCTTAAATCTAAATTGATTCACAACAATTCTTACTGAAATACCAATGAAGTACAAGGCCATCATGACAGACATTAGAAATTGTGCATTTTTGAAAAGCTTGAAAGATTTACTGTACATACATTGTTACAGGAATAAAAACAACAGAGTTTAATATTTTCAGTCATATCAAAAGATGTTCTTTGAATCCATGAAAATATGGCAAATCCTGTCAAATAAAAAGTAAATACAGTGTTGAATTATCTAAAAGTTACTGCTTTCTGTAGCTTTGAATCCTTTATAAATGGGACTTTTATGTGATAGTGTTAGAATGAAGGGACATTTTKTTGACCTGTATCACGATATGGGGTTTGAAATGTGGCTAAACATTATAAATACATAAAAACTGTGTATAGCTGTTACCGGATCTGTTGCAGCGTATCGTCAGACCCTGTTCTGTTGTTTTTCCTCAGCAGAGTCAGAACTTTAAAACAAAACCTAATGATTTTTTTACAGCTCAGGTACAAACATCTCTGCAACTACAGCACATTATTTAACATTTCGGTAGTTTTGCAACTCATGACTGACGATTTAGGATAAAATGTTTATTTATAATTTACTAAACCTTAATTTTTCAAAACTGGCTTTTTAAAATATTGAATTTCTCCTCCCTGCAGCATCACTGAACCCAAAATTTGACCAAGGTGTTCACTGATGACACTGACTGCACTTCCTGCTGCATTATTTCCCCTCTCTGTATTGATTATCATCAGAACACCAGCTCTGTGCACCGAGAGTCTCAGGAAACAGTTTCTGAACAGTCTGAATCACTTCAGCAGGAACTAACCTGCTTTCTGGCTCATCTTTAAACACCACTGATCTGTCATCAGTGAAGATGCACAGAGAAATGTGCAGCAAGTCAGCTGTGCCACACAAAAACTGTTTTTGTGGTGGTGCAGCGACTCGTCTGTAAAACAGCAGAGACTTTGCCTTCATGTGAAAAACAGTGTAATTTTTTTTTTCTCCAAACGGACATTTTTCTTCCTCTCCAAGCTGGAGAAGTGACAGTTTTCCCCCACTCATAGATAAATATACCTTTTAAATCGAAATGGTTCATTTAAGTGACAGGGTTGTATTTTTCAGCCAGTAGTGACTTTAGTCGCCTGGTATTGGCCTGCTGTTAGCCGTGGTAGAAGTGGAGTTTTGTTTTGTTTTTATTCTTTTAAATCCATCTGTTTAATTGGAAAAGCCACAATTAAACATCAGTTTCACATTGTCAGCAAAGAATAAAAAAATAAAATGTCCTCCTGATACTTTTTTTAATTCCCACATGCCAAAGAAAGCTGACTGGACATTGTTTCCACGTCCTTTTAACAGCTAAATGTTCACCGTATTGTAAAGCGGCATCTCTGCAGTAATTGAGTTTTTTTTTCTTTAGTTTATGCTGAACATGTAAAAAAATTATTTGGAGAAGGGATTTTATTTATTTATTTTTTATTTAATTGCCATGCTAAATTTTTGTAGCAACGCAGTCAAACTAAAATTGATTTAAATCCCCTTGAAGCCGAACRCGCCCAAGCGCTGCCGTTCTTCGCTCTGACTTTCATGCACACCCACTTGTATGAATTACCCTTGAGGAATAACTGGCAAATATGAGGAATGTCAAAGAAGGCACATTTCCTGTTTCTGCCTGATTTTATTTATTTTTATTTATTTAATTTTTTTTAATCTCCATCTGTTGGCTTTGCAGAAAAGCAGACCTGGCACTGACTCTGGGCACGTCCATGCAGATCAAACCCAGTGGGGACCTCCCACTCCTCACAAAGCGCAAAGGAGGGAAGGTGGTAATAGTCAACCTGCAGCCTACTAAACATGTGAGTCTTATCAGCACGCCACTTTAACACAGCTCCATGTCCAGAGTTTCTATCAAGGTAGCATTTGATTTATTTGAATAAATAATTTGTAAATATATTTTGCACAGGTCCACAGTCCTGCAGGTTTGACTTGTTTCTCTGCTCCAACACTYCTGACTCAGTGACTGAATGAACTCTTCGAGTTCAGCAGAATCCTGTTAACATCTATTCATTAAAATCAGGTGTGCTGGAGCAGAGAAACCTCTAAAATACATGTCAAACYAAAGGCCTGTGGGCCATATTTGACCCTCGTTAACATTTTTTTTCTGGTCCCAAAGGGAATACTTTAAGTGTGAAATAGTTTTCTGGTTTCTCTTTTTTGTCACTGGATTTAGTGCATTCGTCTCATGACAGTTGGCCAACTTTAGAGCCAAAAAATTAAGTTAGAGTTTTTCAGTTATCTTTGATTTTTGGTGTGTAAAAAGCAACATAGAATCAACTTTAATTATCTTTTGCTCTATTCTCCTATTTTAAAGTAAAATAATTTGATTTAATGTGAGGGTTGTTTTTTTACCTAATTTTCTGGAATATGATAAAATGCATCTCTAATGCTGCATTCACAYYGAATGCRATTTCAGCGTCAGGAGCATCAGGTTTACATGCAAAGTCTATGGTGGACGCGTGTCAAACAGCGTTGGCAAGTACTGCGGCGCGATGAGAGCAGCGCGATTTGAACGATTTGAGAAAAGCATTGTCTAGAGTTGGAAAATCTGAATTTTTGCAGCTCGACGCGGCGTGTCAGCCAATCAGAGAGACTCCACTGTGTGACAAAGTGACAGATTTTCCGACGGGACAGTTTCCTGAATGATGTCCACTAACCTGAGACAGATGGAGAGGAGCTCTTTAGCTGAAATCTGGTGCCTGCAGTCGATGTCCTGGCAGGAGATATCAGCACCGATGCGGGTCAGCGGCTCATCAAACTGGACTTGGGACAAAAATAGTTCTGAAAGCGAGCCTTGTTAGCTCGCAGCTCCTGGGTGATGAAACTCATCAAACTCAGAACGTCTCTGAATTATCTGGTGAATTAATTATGAATTAATTATCTGATGAGCGCAGCGTTCTCTTGCATATAAATAACTCAGTAAATAAAGCAAAGCCACTTTCTTTATTTCTGCCGACATTAAACAGAGACCAGCAGAGGGGGCGGGGAGACTTGACGCGCGTCAAGAGCAGTTTTGACTCGCGTCTGACATCAAAGTGCACAAGCGTCCAACTTGAAGCGTTGGACGCAATTTTGACGCTGAAATCGCGTTCAGTGTGAACGCAGCTTTAGATATAAAAAAAGAAAATGTTGTTCACAGAGAATAAAGCTTAAGAAATAAATGCTAATGATATATTTCTTAAAGGGCAATATCATGTAAAATCAACTTTTTTGAGTTTTATATCATGTTATAATGTTATACTCTCATAAAACATGCCCAAAACCTTGC